TGTTAGGAAAATAACTATATCGAATGAGAATTTATTCTTTATTATTGATTGGTGAGTAGGCGATGATGAGACGTTACCTAAACATTTAACAAACATTACGCGAAAATTAGAAGTATTTTATTTTCTCTAAAACTTGGGATGTTATTTAGACAATAGCATAATGGACTTCTTGCATTCAATCGAAATTAGGTATATAATTTATCTGTAACGAAAGTGTATTTTATATACTACATAACAGTATGGTTGGTTAATTTTTTTTTAATTTTTGAAGGCAGAAATTAAAAGAAAAAAAAGCAGATTATTTGAATTCTGCGCCATATTTTTGCACCAATCAAAAATCACTGTTTGCCAAATTTTCATGTTCTAAACGAATCTTTTTTTCTTTCTTTTTTAAGACATCGAATAAAAAAGGAGATATATAAATAACAGAATCCCTTTGTCAATCGACTTTAGTACAGCCCTATTTTTGACATGAAAAATAAAACAAGACTTAATGAAGTTTCCACAATTTTGTTTTCTTGTCTAGATACGAATTAGACGAAGAAAGTACTAAATCCGACACAGTATAAAGTATGAAAAGGATAAAAGGTATTTTTATTTATCATGATGATTTTTGTTTAGGTACTATAAGGTCAGTGACCTCTGGCCAATTTACCAAACAAAATAATCAATAATTAACAACAAAATGCAGTCCCTGACACTGGGGGATTATTCAAAATAAACCAATAAACGGTTCCGAAAGGTAATCCGGAGTAAACTTTGTCCGGAGTCACCCTGTGTGTAGTTTGAAAAAAACGGAAAAGGATCGATGTTTTTGCCTGTGAAAATGTAAAAAGCTATTTCTTACTTAGACCCAGTTGTACAACCTTGGTTCAAAACAGAGTTCAACTGAACTCGATTGGTACTTGAACTTCCCCATTTGAATGAAATTCATTGCTGTCAAAATTGATAGAATTTGATTAATAGATGACAGCAATATATTTTAAATGGGAAAGCTCAAGTACCAGTCGAGTTCAGTTGAACTTTGTTTTGAACCGAGATTGTACAACTGGGCCTTAGTGCTTAATTCATAACAAGTTAACAGCGTGTTATTAAATCATGGCGTTATCGGTTTATTCAATTCCTATACCACAATTTTCTTGGTGCCAAAATACCTGGAAAAAAAACGGCTTCATTTTCTAACTCCATGTTACTACTCCTACTCCTTTATCTTAACCTGCTCTAAGGACTTCATTCATAGTCTTGTTGTGATTTTGTGTTGGGTGAAAACAAAACAATATTGTAATAAAAAACCCCTATATTCTATTAAAATAAAAAACCCATGAATACTGAAGGTCAATCTAGTCTTATATATTTGGTGGCCGAAAAAAAAATAAGTAACTGATGGGTAACAGGACCAAATCAATAGCTAATATTTTACGAAATAAGAATAGAAATTAGGAATTAAGGAGTTGGGTAACACCGGCCTAAGTCTTGGAGAAACTGGTATCGAATATGTACAGACACATAAAAATTATACTCCTGTTTTATTTCCCATAATCCACTTAGAAGAAAAACAACAATAATTTTAATAGGTAATTAAATACCTATTTTAGTGCCGAAATTAAAAATGTAAATTTAAAACTCACAACACAACACTAGGTATTAGCATTGTGTATTAGTAAAATGCAGGTAGAGCAACCTTTGTGTGCCTTCGTGCCTTCTGCCTGTTTTGGAGTTTTGGACAGGCTAATAAATAAAAATAAATAATGATTATAATTGAATTAAAAAGTTGGGTTATGTTTTTCATAGGGATTAGAATCGATTCCATATCCGATACTTACAAATTTGTAGATTCGATATTATATCGATTTAGTTGTCGCCGCCAGGAAAAGTTTACATGAAATTCATGACATCTGGGCAACACTGGATAAAATTGACCAATCAGAAATTTGAACTTCAAATCGAAATTTAGAGCCTTTGCAAGTCCGAAAAAAATCGGAAAAAAATACAGTTGAGCTTAATTTTGACTCCTCTTTCCAATAAGCAAATAAAAAAAATGCATGCAAGGAACCCATTGAAGTCAGCTAGGAAGATTTTGGCTTTGGACACAGAATCCAGAATTTTTGAGACAATAGGAATTGGAACATACTTAAGTTAGCGTGAAAATATTACTTTTAAAAATGTTCACTGATGAGACTAATGAAAAGAGCCTTATGGGGCAACACATAAGGGTATTTGGCATTTGAAGCCAAAGATGAATACTTCAATCTTCCGCAAACAGGAATAATAATTTTATTGTCTATTCGCTTGACTCTACCTTCACATCGTATTCCAGTCGCCAAAATGCGGTGATTCTATTAAAGCGGAGACTTATCAAGAAAATTAACTTTGGGGAAAAAACCAAATCTTGTTTTCTTCTCTGTCTTCAGCGGCTCACTGTCGTGTAAACTCTATGGTATCGGGTACTTGAGTAGGCAAATGAACACTTCGCAGAAATTCTGGAACCAGAAACCACAGAGAATTATTCAACCGCTCAGACGGAAACGAATCTCGTAAATCCATTGGTTTCGTAGTGGAGCTCTCTAAAAACGATGCGCCATGCGGAATATATTAAAAAAGATAAGAAATAACTGGTTCTTATTTTAAATAAATGTGTTCTGGATGCAAATACTCCTCCATAAACTTCAATGTCAAGAATATATTTACATAAAGGTACGTTATTCCAACAAAAGTTAGCATTTCATCTCTGAATGAAAGCGAAATAATAATGATTCTATTAAAATATATATACAAGTGAAGTGACTAGCACAGTTACCAACTTCCAGGGTCCTTATTCTTAAAGCAGAGGAGCAGTGTTCCCAGGAGAACGAGTGTTCCGTTTTTCTCAATGATATACAACTGATAATATGAGTAACAAAGACGGAACACTCGTTTTCCTGGGTACGCTACTCCCCTGTTTCAAGAATAAGGACCCAGAAAAACTGCACTCTCAGGAGGTACTGATTCGATTCCACAAAACTATTTTTCAATAATTGATGCAATCGACGGTTTCGCAAAACAAGGGAATAGAATTTAAAGAATTAGGAAAATGCAGAACCGTACCTACCCATCGAAACATAACCAACTATAGGGTTTGGGAAGCGCCAGACCGGCTATCAGAGCCTGTAACGCATGATTATCAAATAATGTTTTTGAGAATACATCCGCCCCTTGAAGACAATCGGTTTTATTACGAGTGAGATATCAAAGATTCTAACCTTAAATATGCTCACATTGTTCGATAGCAGTTCACATTCAATTGCATATTCCAGTGTAAAAACTAATATTGATTTCCCAATCCGATCCAGACACAAAGAAGTGGAGTGGAAAGAAATTGGACGTAAAAGAAAATTCAAGGAGGCAGTAATTATTATATTTGAAGACCAAAATGAATCCAAGTAACATTTGAAAAATCTTCTTAATAGAAAAAAAATTCGGATAGACTTTAATAGACACTTAAATTCTAAGAACCAATACATAACATACGCATGACAACCATTGATAGATGGCTAAATTTAGTTCAATAGACCTATCTCGCATGATTAGAAAAAGAGAGCTTAATTGTAATAAATACAAATTAGAAAGCAATAAAAGATGACATGCGCGCGCAACTCGTAGGCTGCTGTGTAGCCAGATTGTATTGTTGCAGAATAAATGTAGACAATACAAATCGAATATTATAACATTAAAGAAGTGATATAGTGTCAAGTGTTTTACAATGCCTTATATCAGACAAAAGAAGAGTTTTAAAGTGGATGAACATCGTTTGCACTTTTATTTTGATAAATGTTTCCTCCGGCAACATCGCTCAATGAAATTGCAAAGGAATATGTCAAGTATAATCTTAAACGAAACTGCGGTGAGTTCAAGTAATATGCAAAGAATTAGTTTGCTCTTTGTCAAATTACACGTTACAAGGAAAGAAGGAACAATTCATTCTGAACTGGCCCCGGAATAAGAATATGACGCAAGCCTGTCACAAACTTGCTTCTCATTGGACGCTCACCTGCAGCCTACAAGAGACGCGCGCAGTCCAGGTAATAGGAGATAGGTCTAATAGACACCCGGAAATCTACTTCAGTTTAGATACCTATTTAAACCATGGTAGCCTACAATGATTATCCCAGAACACCCTTAAATAAACATGGCATGTGAAAACCATAAAATTCATTTTGAGGAAACTAATAAAAATTGTCCCGTCCATTGGTAGATGAAAGCAAATTGCTGCCAAATTCCTAAGATTTACCTATAAAAATTAAGAATCGAGCAACTGATTATCGAAGAAATCATGATAAGGGAAAGGATATTAGCATAATGCAAAATAGACCAATATATTGATCTAGAAGAGTCTACATCAGGAAAGCTCCTAAAGAATGCCAAATTTGAATTGGATCTAGACTAAACAATTTAATGAACATTTTTTGAATGAACAAAATTTAGCGATGGTAAATCACTTATAGGTATCTTAAATAAATTTTATGCCGCCAATTTCGCTTCAATTGCCAAAGGATTTAAAAGCTGAAATCTAAGTTAGGGCATTTCTGAAGAAATCTACTGGTCATCGTTCATCGTTATAGTATCATGGCCATCAACAGAAAAACGACTTTTGCCAAAACACTCCAAGAAGAATCTGATATGAAGCCAGAAGAGATCGCTCTAGAAAATACCACGGATATTTTCTAACCTAAGGTGGGTAATTACATGCTACAATTTATTACAAGAATTTTAGGATTGACATCATTCCATATATTTTAATTTTTTAACCGCTAAAGTAAGGGACGTTCAGTTTTGGGTCTTAGAATGTTATCTTTTCAAATTTCCGCCTAATTGCGGTTTTCAAACAACTCTTTTCACATGCTCTGAGAATATGTATTTTGCATATTATTGTTCTGCTAACAATACTTCACCTCTTAGGTACAACAAACTCAACTAATACTCATCAAAACACTTTTGAATATTATTTCAAGCAATATACAAACCTGTAGTCGCCGACATATCCTCCAAATTTTCAATAAACTTCAAAATGTGTCCACTTATTTTCGAAGGCATATTGCATCGATTTTCATAGTCAATATTCATTTCAAACTACACTTTAGGTTTGTTAATAAAAGTTCATCAATTTCACTTCAATATTGTTTTAACTCGATTATTCCACTCATGTGTTAGAAATCCCATAAGACAAGTGACGATTTTCAGAATTACAGCGAAAATTCTCTTTTCCATTTGTTTAACTAGAGAGAATTACAGCGATAATTCTGCCATATTATTGTATACATGGTTGTCATGCTAATTTTTGATACAAACAAACGGTTCCTGATAGCAACCATTTATTTGTATTGATTGTTAAAATGTTCAAATCGTTTAATACATATTTATTTCCATATTTTTTGCATTATCATACGTGAAATAATCCTCTAAATACCACTTGAGCCTTAAAATGAACCAGAAAATTTTTCACTCATGCATGTTTTCTCTGCAAATTTCACTCGTCCTACGGACTCGTGAAATTATAGAAAACACACAATCGTGAAAAATTATCGGTAATTTTGAAGCTCTCGTGGTATTATCCCCGATAATGCAACAACAAAGGATTATAATGAATCACGTTAGTACGTAAATTTTTTTAAAACAAACATGATAAATCCACACCACAAATTAAATTTTAATGTTTCCGATATGTTAATAAACATAAAACTTAAGTTGCTGCGGTTTCGTTTGTTTTCTATTCGCCAGCTGGATTTCCTTTTAGATGTGTAATCCTAGCTTTATTGCTTTTGTGAAAACAAAGGAACTATTTATATCTTAGGTAGGTACCATCGTCACCAAAAGTAACTGGGACAGCATCACATTAGCTCTTGTTCTATTATATGAATTTTATTGTCAAATATTTGTCAAACTATGAATTAAATGCATTGAAATGGATGACAGTACAATTAGTCCAAGAGATTATTATGCATTATTTGTGTCCCAGATACTTTTGGTGACGATGGTACATCTTTTCACCAGTGGCGTGCCTGACGGGCCCGCAGGGCCCCGGGATATTTGGGGCCCCCAAATTAAACAAGATATTCTTCTCCCACAAAATATTTTTCCACTTATGTCAGTTAAAGAAAATCTTCATAGAAATTCTCAATTTTTTCAACCATCGAATGCATTGGAAATGATAGTGATAATTTAGCGTAAAATCTTAAAACATAACTTTATACAGGGTGTTCCGAAATTCCAAGAAAAAAAAACAATTTTTATTTTTTTATCATAATTTTCAAACCACTCTAGGTCTCTAGGTAGGTATTTCATTGAAATTTTGTACACTGTTTCCAAACAGCAAAAGAAATTTTTTGATGAGAAATATTTTTTTAAAAAATTACCAGAAAAAAAATTATAAGAAACTGGGGCCTATTTTCGACGTAGAATATGCCGTAAAAATTTGGTGCATTAATTTCGGAACACCCTGTATAAAATCGTTTAATTTTTGCTCCACCTCAGACTCCAACGCACCATAATTTTGCTCGCACCGGCAACACTGGCTGACTTGTGTCATGGCTAATACATTTTTTTATGATATTTTTTGTTTACTTTTATTTTTACCGAAACTGTTCGGGGCCCCCAAGGAAAATCTCGCGGGAGGGCCCCCAGAAACTCGGCACGCCCCTGCTTTTCACACTGTTAATCTTTTCCTTATTACTCCATTGTTATTTACCCCAAAAACAACATTCACTTTTTCTTCACCAAACCAAAATAAATACAATTCCTACTATTCCAGTTTTCCGATAAGAGAAAGAAAGAACACATTTCCATAAGTTTGTTGTTGCCAATTTGTCACTTTCTCTAGTAAATTCCACCTCACTAATCACAGCTATTAATTATTACCGCCCACTACTTGACCACGAATGCAGTCATTGCTTTCACTTTCGATCGTTTTCTCGGCGGTTTTCCAAAAATCACTAATTGTTTGCAAACAATACATCGCGTTGCTTATCGAAGAAAACCGCTAATCTTTGGCTGATAGAAAGAAGCGCTTTGGTGGTGTCAAAATACTGACTGAATTTCGCCCAAAAGAAGTTGGAAAATGAAACAGAAAATGTTGCTTAAAATAAAACGCGTCTTTAAATAATCCACGGCTTGCAGTATGTAGAATTTTACGATGATGGTCTATTTTTAGTAGGTTCATGTACCAAGTCTGTTTAGATGTTTTGTTTAAGCGAGCAACAAATTTACAATTAATGGAGTACTTTTGTTTATACTCATTCAAATTACTGCTTCTTTTTTTTTGTACTTGATGGGGTAGGTGGGTAGGTACTCGCTTCTTGAAAGTATAGAAACTATAGCTTCTATCTAAATACTCTTCATTACAAGTGATACTATTATTTTGAGGAACAAACAAGCAGAATAAGACCAAAAACAGAAGAAAATTCAAGAAGAGGAAGCCCGAAAACAGAGAGAACGGCAAGATGAAAAAGTCTGAAGATAAGAAGAACAGGACCGGCTCCAGGAACATTTTCTATATTTGAGCAAAAATGGATTCAAACCAGATTGGAGAAAATCCTGGAAGGGCGAGAAAATTACTTCAGAAATGTAATGAAAGAAATACCTACTTAAAATAATTGGTAGTAAACCATTTCAATGAAAAAGTGCAGTCTCATATTTTTGTCTAGTATCATCAATAATATTTCACCGACCAAAAACAAAAACAGAAATTAAGCTCATTTTGGTTTTATCGTAAATTAGGATTTATAAATAAATTTCGAGAAAATTTAACTGCTTTAGAAATTTAATCATTTAATCCTATTTTATTTATGTATTATTCATTTATTTTTAACTACTAATACTGGTCAATTAATTCCATGTAATTCTGCTAATATGACTTAAGTATCGCAGAGTAGTTTTTAAAGTTGCTTCAAGTGCATGAACATTTTGCTGTAATTAGAATCAATTTTGAAACTATACTCTCTTTTATTTAAAGAATTAACGTTCATTAATTCATTATGAAATAGACCAATCACACAACGCATTTCTTTAAATAAATTTTATTCAAATAACTTACTTCTCAGATCTTTAACAAAACTACCTATCTTTTAAATTTAATATTTTTCATAATTACTCAAAAGGCAGGCATACTTTTTTATAAAACTTAATTTTTAATTATGGTATAGCTCCTTTTTGAGCAATTTCTCTATTCATTATTTTCAGTTATAATTACACAAGAGCTTTTTTGTAACAAAACTTGAATTTTAAATGTATGTCAAGTGTCAAGTTTACTTCGACTAAAAAAAAAAACTTGAGTAGTGAGTTAACATGTCGTAGACCGGGTAAACATTTAAAAAAAAAAAAATTCTTTCCGAATTAAAAATTACAAATTCAAGACTTAACTCAAAAATTTAATCGTCACAATAAAATTCAACTTACTAATTCAACGTTATCGAGAAATTACTTATATAAAGGTGAAAAGCACAGTAAGCAAATTTATTGTTCAGTCAGCGCCTATTACTGACATAACTCCTCCCTCCTTAACTTTCAACTCTACGCTTGACGGGGTAGTTGGACTTTGTCGGGGCATTATTCTTCTTTCTTCTGTTTTGGAAGATGGGCATCACATATTTGTAGATGGCAATCGGGCAACAAATGGCAATGACCCCATACAGTAGCAGGGTCCAGATACTTGAACTTCTAGTAATTTGGTTGAAGATGAGGCTAAATTTCGGAGATTTCATATTTTAACTGATGGAGGTGGTCCAGTTTCAAATTGTGAAGGTGACGACTTAAATTCAAAAGTGGTAGTGTTGTTCACGTTTCTGCAAAATCGAAGAACAACATGGATTGCCGATTTGGACTGATTAGCTTTTCTTCATTGATAACCAGTTTTGAGTTTATGCTGACTTTGCATCCCATAGGAATTTGGCAAATGTATGTCCCTATGACGTTTTGGACTTCTTCTTGGTCAAAACGCTGAATTTTGATAGTTTCCTTAATTGAAAATATAAGTATCAACTGATTGGTAGCGTCTAGACGATTAATTATCGCTTCTGGAACGCTAACTTCGGTTTACTTGCAAACTGAGGGGAGTGTGTCAGAGTTCAGGAGTTGTATCTCGCATGGGCTGGTTTTTCTGACTTCTTGCAGGTCCTTTTTAGGGCAAACGAAGGACTTGGGGAGCAAACGAAGGCATGTTTGTAGATAGTACGCAAAGTGCAAAGTATTTTTTACTAAATATTTATTATATGGCAAAACTACCTTAAACCGACTCTGCGAATTGATTGGAACAGAATAAAAATGAAAGAAGTCAAAGGATTGAGGCTTCATGATTGGTGTTTCGTGTTTCTAATGAATACATTATTTTATTATTTATTGTGAAAGCCTTAATTTCTTTGAGTTTTTCGAAAGCAAGAATATTTTCTAACGTGACGTTAAAAGGACATTTACTTAATCCTTATTGATTTTTTAGCTTATTAATTTCAGAAAAAAGGTCTTCATTTTTTATTATGCTAGAATGTAAGATTTTGAGCAGCGAATTTTCTATATTCTGCAAGATGGAATTGATTATTTCGTAGACATTGACGATTTGTTTGATTTATATCTTTGATAAAAGAGAAATTTTCCCTGTAAGCAGATTTTTCTACAAAGACAGATACTTGTTGAAAAGATTCTCATTATGATTGATTTGGCTTAAGTAAGGTCGAATTAAATCTTTCGATGATAGTTAAGGATAAAGAACTTTGTTTCAAAACATTTCCTTGTAAATTCTTTTGAGTTGCTGGAATTGCTGGTAATTCAGCTTAAGATTTTTCGTAGTGAACTCCGTCGGATGCGTCAAGATTTCCTGTGACAGCTTTGAACATACAGCCTAAATCATTTATTAGACCTCTCTTCAATCTTTTAGTTTGCTTTTAGGATGAGGTATACTTAATCTCTCTTATTTTGTCATTTACTCGATTTTGTATTATTTGTAGAAGTTTCAAATAACTGCTTACATCACAGTACCTACCTACTATATTCTTTATGTGATTGTACTAGAGTTTGGATTTTTTTCGATTTTTGGTGTTTGTTAATTT